CCCATGAACACTCACATTGCCAGAGGCTCGCAAGTGCGTTGCCGACCTCCATATATAGTTTAGCACGCTTTAAACAAACTCGTCCTATTTATAAGTATATTGTATTGTATTAATTAGATCGGTTTATATCTGACAAATTTAACTCCTTTACTATGGAGACAACTATGGCTGACTAGCTATTATAAAAATTAATTATTATAACTCTGATGTACATATATTGTTGGCTTTTAATGAAATTAGCAGCTGTAATTAGCAAATTAGCTGTAAAAAAAGGCAATTTATACAAAAAATTTATTTACATCTTTCACAGCATTTACAACCTCATAGTTTGATAACGATATTATTAACATTAAATAGTGTACTACGCAGAGAATAATAAAATGAAAAGCCTCTTTATTTGGTAACACAGAGTATAAAAAAATGCGACCCAGCGATTCTCACTTGTTTCTCTTATTTTGGCCAGTATTTGCGCACAAATAAAACCTTTTTGATGAAAACCAAATTACAAATCGGAGTATGTACGGCCTGATACTTTTTTAAATAAACAACAAATTTGATTTTATTTTTACACTAAATGCTTTATTTCAAGCATATTGAAAAACGTTAACAAAAAAAAATAACCTAAGGTACAAAATACATATAGAAGACGAAAATTTATAATCTTAATATTAAATAAGTATTATATTAGCGGCTCTATTCATAAAGAAATAATCAATATAATTAATCTTTAATCTAAAGCACTATTCCGTCTCTTTCTGTCAACTGTTTACGCAGTGGTGAAAAGGGACACTTGGACTTCTAGCTTTTATGAATCATTAAAAAATTACTTTTTCTATGAAGCCTTTGAAGGAAGTGTTTATTTATATTCATGTCACTTATTTACATTTCTGTGGAGAAGGTATACAAAAATACCGGTAGTCAATATGGCGCCGCTCCTGGAATAAAAAAATAATAATTAATGGTTAAGAATACGTAGCTAAGCACGACGCGATAGTGGCTACCACGATTCTGTGTTCGTGGGTTCAAACTATAAACTGTAATTAGGTTTTATATGAGTACAAGTTTCACTAGCTAGGTGAAGTTGAAAATCCTGAGAACACCGTCATTTCGTGTCAGGCATACTTGTCAAAAGAAAAATGCATATGAAGCCAAGGGTGATTGTGGCGCCACTATCTATACTTCAATAAAATTATTGTTCAAAAATTCCATGTATATTACTATGTCGATCATTGGCCCATAAATCGTACTAGCATATTTGTAATTATTAATCCACTATTAGGACAACTGTCACTATACCATAAATAAAGAGTACAAACCATAGAGCCATTTGTCCGGCCTTCGAGTGTCTAATTGGACTGTAGCGCGTAACTTTATAGTCTGTATTATTCTTGAATTGTTTCAAAATTCTATCCATGCTAAAATTAATAATATCTGTTAATGTGACGGCTATATATCAAAATGCATGTATCTATACAATTTGCCTATATACTATAGGATATAATACTGTTGTAGACAAACATAAGGAAGACATTCAAAATTAATGATCACTTACGTATACTGCGAGTTTGTCGCAACGAGCGCGGCGCGCGCGTCACACAGTTTTACGTCTACAGAGCCGTAGGCCGCCAGCGATGACGCCACCTTTAATTGGACATTAAACATTTATATTTATTTTTATGTACATCATAAAAAATTCGATCAGTTTTATTATTATGTAATTGTATTGAGAAAGGAATTTTTAGGCGGAACAATAGAAATTCTCATAAATAGATTATAGGAAATGATAGATGTGAACAATTTCTTTCTAAGTGCGCATTTAACATTCGCTCGAACGGTGAAAACATCGTGAGGAAACCGGCTTGTCTCAGATCCAAAAAGGCGACGTGTGTCAGGCGGCAGCTGATCACCAACTCGCCTATTAGCATGACAAATGATCATGAAAAAGATATAGAATCCTCAGTCCTAAAAAGGTTGTAGCGCCACTGATTTCGATAAATATATCAAGTTGTTATATTCAGTATACTGGTATAGTAAAAATATCTAACTTCTGTAAAAAAAGTGTTCTATAATTTATTACAAGTGTATCTATTGCTAGATAATAATAATATAATATAGCTGATATTTGTAAAATGCCTTGTTTTTATATTAAATTAATTGCCTACACGCGAATCTCTATCAATTTTAGTTTAAAAGAATGTGTCAATAAACGTAAAACTTGTTTGGGGAAAAAAAGGTTCCCTTAAAATTAAAACTCTATAAAATTTATATACCTTTTCAAACACGGTTCACGGTCGTGACTCTTGATAGATAAATGTTACGTACGTCACAGTTTTTGTGCCAACTTTAGAAAGATATTCAGAGCACCCTGAAAGACATTTAAGAATTATATTGTCTTTGTTCGATAGAGGTCGCCAGTGTCGTAATGCCATTTTAGTGTTCCGCGATTATCGCAGACAGCTGCTACGACATTCTATTTATAATATAACCTTAAATCCACCTTGACAAAGGCATGAAAAATTACTTCATTTAAAATACGCGAGCGGCGTTTTGAAGTCATTCCACGGCGAAAATAAAGATTTTCCTAGTGACACATGGGCATTATCAAGCTTTTTAAACTGGCGTCGGGTATTCGTGTGGGCTGCATGTGTGTGTTGGATTTACGCCAAATGTCAACCGCACACACGATAAGCTCGCGATGTCAAATGGAAGGAAATAACGATGCTCATTACTATGAAGGTAGATGAGCTAAATTAGATCGCTTGAGAATTTAAAAATATTAATGTATTTTAATACGTAAAGTTAAAACACATTTTTTATTATATTGTGGTTTTTAATATTTGCATATAGATGTTTTTATGAAACACTAGCAAACTCGGCGAACTCCGTTTCGCCACCAGATGGCTTCGTTTTATGTAACATTTCGTTTGGTGATCCCGCTTTTTTGATGAAATTTTTCCTGAATTTTCTTTGCCATAAACCTCACGGAGCCCGACACCTTTCCAACGAATGCAAAACCGTGCAAAACGGTTCGTGCGTTCTGGAGTTATAGCGTCAGGAAGGAAAACCCGACTTATTTTTATTATGAAACATTAGTGCACAATATGCAATACACAAAATGCTTAGATTTAATATAAAAATTTGATATTTTTAAATAGATTTATGAAATAAGAAAAAAATATTAATTAAGTATATTAATAAAATCGCATGAACGATTTCGATATATCTCGTATCTTTATTTTCTCTAAAACCGTGTTTTATATAACAATATTACGTCCATGTTATTCAACGCCACGAAAAGGTACAAAATAATGACAGCCTCATTAAGAACGGTAAATGACCGATTGGTTACAAATAAAATCTATTAGCTATGGAAATTTACCGTAGTTTAATAATTTGTGTTTCAAAGCAAACTATTCTAACAGACTAAAGGAAAGGAGCATAAACGAAAAATGTTGTAAAAATTATTTTCATTTGAGAGCTTGCCCTCAATTTTTTTTATGATGTCCAACGAGTCCAACGAGAAGGTTTGTGTATCTGTTTCGTAATCATTTGATTTCTCTAATTGGCAAGTAGGTGATCAGCCTTCTGTGCCTGACACACACCGTCGACTTTTTAGGTCTAAGGCAAGCCGGTTTCCTCACGATGTTTTCCGTCACCGTACGAGCCAGCAATGCTCACATAGACAGAAAGTCCATTGGTACACAGCCGGGATTCGAACCTACGTCCTCAAGGATGAGATTCGCACGCTGAAGCCGAACACTGCTCGGATAGCTAACCACCTCATAAAGAAACCTGGAACCGTGTGGGCGTACGGGTGTGTTGCTAGCCTTTGAGAACGCTTTTTCTTAACATTCCCTGAATCGTATTGGTTCAGAAATACCTCCTGGTATTTGGCATCTGTACAACCGACAGTTGGTTCCACAAAAAGGTGGTGCGTTAAAACCGCTGTGTTGTGGTTACCACGCTATGGTATGGCTTAATCTAAGAGTAATAAAGCGATTATATTAATGTCACATCAATGGAACAATTGTTTCATCATTGTTTTTGAAATAAACCCAGAACTTACGCGGTCTTTTTTAAGCATAAATCCAAATTGATTTGTATAATTCAGAGTCAAGCTAAATTATTAGTAGTGGTAAATGTGTACGCTTATGAACGTCAATATTTAAAGACTACAGCTTAGTACGAGTCCCATATATCTTAACTTATCTGTTAGACACAAAAATAAATATTCCACCGGGACGGAAGTATGTTTAAATACAAATATACATCAAAATTTTACTGTCCCTTGGAGAGGGAGATGCTTTTAGCGACTGCTCCATTAACACGTGATGATGAAATCGTAAATGGCAATGATGGGTTTACAGCCCCCTTAGGAACAACGTTAGAAAATCAGTTACAGTTAAAAAGAAGAATTGTCTTTAACAGCACTCCCTAGTGGAACGCCAGGCTGGAGTTATATTATTTATACATCAAGTTACGACCGAATGAACGCACAGCTAGTTAATAAGGAAGATGTAAATACCGTTCAAACGGTGCAGTGACAAAACGACTAAAGATATTAATAGAATCGAGACCGCGCAGATGCACAAATGCGACGGAAATAGACTACGCACCGTTATATAACGATGAACATATTCTGCAGAAATTTACAAAATCAATAACGCTCTCCCTTTGGAGTAGACTCTTGGGCCGTGGGGTTCAATTGCACAGGCGATTATTAAAGATTTAAGTTGGCGCCTGGTAGATAGAACCGATGACTCCAGAGCTGGTGCTTTCCTCGCTCAACGAATATAATGTTAAAGGTACACTGCCAAGGGGACGAAACTTTTTTAATTTGTTTTAAATATCTCTATATTATTTCTATATACGTTAAGAAAATTAACGCGTGTTGGTAATAAATCCGTGTATGTTTAATTACGTGATTACTTTTTTATTATTGAAATATGAGAAGTTTTACTTCTCGGTCCTATCCTTCATTGCCGAAGGTAGTGTCACTGTCAGGTGCATGCTTCCCTGCTAGTGATATCTCTCCCCTTTATTCGGTCTCTAGCTTTCCTTAGCGCAGCTGTTTTAGGGAGACCCGTAAGAATCGTGACTTGTATCAGCGGGATGGCGACGACCACCAGCTTGTCTCTTGTGTTAGCCTCGTTTTTCTGAAGTTTTGAAGCTATTTAAAAAAGAGGCTGTCTTACGTATTGGAATTTGGAATAAGGCTTTCAAGGAGTGTGTTAAACGTCGTGTTGTCCACAAATTTGGTGTGTAACATCAAATCGTTTTGTCATAATAATCTAATATATAAAATTCTCGTGTCGCGGTGTTTGTGGTAAAACTCCTCCGAAACGGCTCGACTGATTCTCATGAAATTTTGTGTGCATATTGGGTATGTCTGAGAATCGGACAACATCTATTTTTCATCCCCCTAAATGTTAAGGGTAGTCCACCCCTAAATATTATTATTTTAGATAAAAATTTTATTCTTTATTTTTTTATGATACAGCATTAAAAAATACACACAACCCCTAATTTTCACCCCTCTACGATCAACCCCTATTTTTTCTTATAAATGATATACATGGCAAAACGACGTTTGCCGGATCAGCTAGTATATTTATACATTTCTCACTTCCTCTGAAAGTGGCGAAGCCTTCGAGCCCTTAATTATCGTAGTGATAGCTTCGAGAAAATCCCATCACCTTGTACCTCTGATCCTATTCGTAGGGCTTCGTCTGTTACCTTAAGTACCTTGTTGCATACATCCCGTACTTATTTATATATTCACTATTTATGTTAGGGCTTGGACCCGTAGGGTTGTAAGGTTCTTAGTTCTCATCTTCTCATATATTCAGTTATCTAGTGCAGCTTACATATACTATACATTTATTTCTTACACATACATATCGCCCACTGGCTGACAAGCTGTATAAATATTCTTGTAAGTAGTTATTAAGTATAAACCATTGCATGCCTTTAAAGGTAGGAGACGTAATTATATTTTTAAATATAAGAGTCTTTCCTCCAACTTCGATATTGTTCCCTTTGGAGTAGACTCTTTGGCCGTGGGGTTCAAGTGCACAGGCGCTTATTAAAGATTTAAGTTGGCGCCTGGTAGATACTACCGGTGACCCCAGAGCTGGTGCTTTCCTCGCTCAACGAATAAGTATCGCAATACAGCGAGGAGATGCTGCCAGCGTTAAAGGTACACTGCCACAGGGACCAAACTTTTTAAATTTGTTTTGATTTTAATTATATTTATTTTTAATTATTTTTATTATTACTTTATAGGTTAAGAAAATTGTACATACATAAATATATACAACCCCCCTCCCCCTCTTTTTTCTAGATGTAATATTTTATTTTTGCGTCCGTTGGCAAGGTTTTAATAAATAAATATATCTATTATATCTATATATAGTTGATAATCGGTTCTGCGATACCGGTATCACAGAAACGTAGGGTATTTATTAATCAAGAAGCAAACGAGACATGCAAGATGTATAAAATTTATACAAGTTATAATTATAGAAGTGTCACACGCAAGTTCTTTTTTTATACTGGTAACACAATTAAATACAAACAAATACAATAATAGGCACGAAAATATAAACACACAAAAACAAACCAATTACAACGATTTTAAAAAGCCGTGGGGGGCACGAAAACATCAAATTTGAAAAACGTGTTATAGGAATTTCATATTCTATGTATGGGGGCACAAAACCTGATGTTAGTACGCGTAATAGGTGCGTAAGCTGGCCATAGACGGACCGCATGTTGCAGTCAAGACCGACTGCTTGGAGCAGTTGTGTTCGACCGCAAAATAATACTGATGCGAGTTCATTTACAAGATGGATTTCGATGAAGAAACACTGCTTCTTGTACTACTATTACGCAAGCATAGGCGTAGAAGACATCGTAGTATGTGGGTGCGTCCAATACTACAATCACGAGAACAGCATGGAATATTTCCTACTTTGTATCCCCAGCTGAGAGAAGACACTAAAAAGTTTTTTAACTACATTAGAATGTCCGTGGTTTCATTTGATGAATTTGTATTTTATTTTATTTGAGGGAGTGGCGCGCGGTCGGCAGCAACCGCTAGTAGCGGTCCGTGTAAGGTGGGTCTGGCAGCTCTAAGCAGTCGACCGCACGGCGAAACTCGACCGCAGAGCGACTGCTCCGACTGCTCAGGAACTGCTCAAGCGGTCCGTGTATTGCGGATATGAATTTAGTATGGAAACTGCAGATCGCCGTGCGGCGACCGCTTAGAGCAGTCGGTATCGGCTGCAACATGCGGTCAGTCTATGGCCAGCGTAAGAGACTTGGTGACTAGGGTAAATGGTGTTGACAGGACAGTTAATTAAATTTTACTTAATAACTATTAACAATGGTGTACTCGCGTAAATCGTTACGGAGTATTTTTCCCCACACATATAAAAAATTTCGATTGAATTATCTGTTAGGGACAACCTCCCACTAGGACAGATGACTTGGAAAGGGTGGAAGGATGCAGAGACACCGAAATTTCTGTCTGTATATTTAGGGGCCTATGTACCTCTAGAATATTTTTTAAATTAATTCATTCAGGTTCAAGTAATAGGTAGACTATAAAGATTACATCTGGAACGGTTTTGCGTATTTTCCGTATTTATCTTTTCCATAGAGTAAAGACTAGTTATAGTCTGTCCTTGTCAAAGTGTAAGGATAATTGACGTTAACAAATGTAGAAATGTGAATTTATTTTTTATGCACCAGAAATAATCTAGGTAATTTCAGCAGCTCTTGGGATTGCTATAATTAGTAACGATGTGTATTAGCCAAAGGTGGGTACGGTTAGGACCGTCGACATATGTTACTAATAAACAAAGGTAAGAAATGTCTTTAAATAAGGGGATATTTTTAGCTCCTAAAATGCTAATTATATAGTAGACAACTGCTATAGTTTTAACAACATATATTTTATTATTAGTATTTGAATATTTGTCTTCGTTGTGTAAATGTGCGATTGGTTTTTCCAGATCCACAATACTTTATTCACACTCATATTGTTAATTCTATTTTTGAAAAAACCAGGCCACGAAGAAAATTTTGTGAAGAAAAAGTTTTTATATGAGGCTAGTTATCTATTTTAAAACACTATTATAGAAATAAACGTGTTCCAATTTAAAATTTTCCCTCCATATACCAATGACTGTCATTAAACGCTTTTTTTCTAACATCGCTTTTTCTATTTTGGCCTACTATATACTTAAAGTCTTCCGGTGTGGTGAGCAACCCAAGTTCTCCAAGAACTCGGTTTCTTTGTAAATAGATTATAGGGGATATGTGCGACGGCATAGGCCAAGGTTATTTGCGATACCAAGGGCAAGAAACAGTCTGTTGCACATATCCCCGTTGACAAAGACGTTGCTACTGAATGCTCTCTGACCCTATCGATATCTTTATAAGTACGTTGAATGAGTTCATAGTAGCGATATTATGTAATTGAGAGTGGCGGAGAGTTTCTTGCTAGTTCTTCTTGCCCGTTCTACGCCCTTGACTTGCGAACTGGTAGTAAATGTAAATTTAGAATTAATTTAACATCTTTTCTGTTGACGTTCATATGTGTACTTGTTTACCTAAATAAATAAAGTTATTTTGAGTTTGAGTTTGAATTATATTACATTTTTTCCGACATTATCGTATTGGCTTAGTACTGTAAGAATAGTGTTTATATTCTTGTGAATAAATAAATAAATATTTCTACTCATATATTCCATTACTTTGTTGACATAACCTTTTTTCTTTGAAACCGAATAGTAAAGATAGAAAGACTGAAATGTAGCCATGATTAATTCATCATCATCAATGGCTATACAGCCCCTTGTGGGCCTTAGCCTCCTCAAGTATATTTCAATCGCAATCTATTTAGTGCTTATTGCGTCCCACCTGGAACCTCTATTGTTTCGAGGTCTTTGACAACATCCCACCAACGCAGCCTCGGTCTATCGGGTTGTCAGTAACCATCTGCCCACTGAAGTTTTTCCGAACCAATTCGACTTAGGGTCCTTCAAGAAAAGAGCGTATTAATACATACCTTACTGACATTTATGACGCGGTCCTTAATAGATTTTATATAGAGAAGCATCGGCCGGTGTTTCGGTGGGTCTGAACCAACGAGATTCTGAAAATAGAAGTAAAACTACAGCCACAATCGATAAGGCTGAAATGTATTCATAAAATTTTATTAAAATTAAGTTATTTTATTATATATATTAGAATTGGGAGAAAAATGCTCAAAACAGAGAGAGATGAAGGCAATTGAAGAAGGCCTATACTCAATAAGAGGTCCTTGTAAAAACTAAAAAATATATATAACTGTATATATATATATATAAATGGTATGTGTATATATGTATGTATGTATTTTGTGTGTATATTTTGTAACTTTTTGTAAATTTTTCAAGGAATAAATGAGGCTTAATTATTATTATTATTATATATTAGTTATCCACGAACACAAAAGCCACGAAGACCAGGCTCGTGAAGACACTTATATACCCCATATTTCTGTACGCAGCTGAAACGTGGACCTTGCGAGATGTGGAAAGGCAGAAAATAGACGCTCTGGAAATGTGGTGCTGAAGGAGAATGCTTGGGGTTTCGTGGACCGAGTTTCATACAAACGTCTCGATACTTCAAGAACTCGGTGTTAAACAGCGTCCGTTTTCAACAGTACAATCTCGCATCCTTATATTCTTCGGACACGTATCTCGGCGTGGTGATCAGTCCATAGAACGCCTTGTCGTCCATGGGAAGGTGGAAGGCACTCGACCGCGCGGAAGGAGATTTACTCAATCAGTGCAGCAGGATGAGCTCTAATAGGCAACGATGGCGAAACGTCGTGAAGCGCATCACATCTGCTTCTATTACCACTACTTCATAGCGATCACTACCGCACTGTCAAGAGTGTACCGGATAGGAAGAAGAATTAGTTATCACTTCGTAATGGTGTAATGTGTTGATCGATGTTAATTGAATGTCCAATCAATATTTTGTTTTATTTAAATATAACCTAGTCTTTAACAACCAGCATTGGGGCTGTTGAAGTATTACGTAACAATATAGGGGGGTCTTTGATTTCTTATTATTTGTCAACATTAATTATTACTTTTTTACAAATATTACCTACACATTGTCTATGCTTGAAAACGAAATGCATTTTCGAGGATTCCTACAAAAAATTAATATGTTTATGTACTACTAGCTGACCCGGCTAACTTCGTACCGCCTTACAGTCTAATAATATCGTTGTTACTTTAGTTAGACTTATTTGGGGATTTATTGCGAAAGAAGAATGGCAGTTTTACACATCTCCTCTTCTCTCTAGCGCCAATATTGCGTTAAAGCACTTTCTGATACACAACATTTTTTGATGAGGATCGATCAGGATCAAAGCCTGGTTATGCATCTCCTCATTCACCATCACCAATTGCGCCATCATTACTAAATGAATTTTTTGACGGCGCTTCAAAGGCGACGCGTAGATAATCGGTTAAAAGTGTCTACTGGCTCTAGGCATAGGATAATTTTAACAATATTTTAGGTCCTTACATATGAAATTGGCGTTTTGTATGGTAGTAGATTTATTCAAATATAATATATTTAATTAAACAAAGTATGACGTACCATTGCTATCTATGCACTTTTGCCATCTTTAGATAGTTCATTGATCCAATTACGAAAACAAACATTCGGATGGGAATCAATAAAATCTATAAGGGCGGTTTCGACTGCCCCATCAGAGTTGATTTTTTAACTTGCAAGAAGGTATCCAACACTGGTGATTTGGAAAACAAAGTGACAAACATTTCATATGTAACGATAATATTTAAATAAAAACGATACGTACCATATATGGTACAGCGCCTCGAATGACATTGACCTTATTGGCATGTGGAGCTAGGGCTGATAATATCTCGGTTGGCCCTACAGGCCTATAATGGCCCCTGAGCTCACACGCCGCCCAATGTCCAAGTCTTATAAAACAATAACCTACGAAGATATTATAGATATTATAATCATATATAACTAGCAGACCGGCCAAGCGTTGCTGTGGCTAAGGTTTTCGTTATATTACATAGTAGTAAACTATTCAAGGATAACGGTAGGAGAACCAGTCATGGGGACCACTATGCTTTTTTGGTGGTTATGCCATTAATTTGTAGCTTATATGAAACATTGGTACTTTCAACATAGCGCCATCTGTTAGAATTGTGACTATCAAATAATTAACAAATAATTTGCAATAAAATAATATTGCGGGTATAAATTGAGATGTAAGCTATCGTATCTGTTATGTAAGATCAAACTGCACACCGTGTGCAAATTTTATTGAAATCGGTTCAGTAGTTTAGGAGTCCATAGCGGACAAACAATGTAACACGTAATTTATATATATTAAAATGCAACTTGAACTTGAAATGCAACTACATATGAGGAAAGACAACTTTTATTCAAACTCAAGTTAATTATTAACAATTGGCTATTTGACAAGATTTAAATCATGTATCATCATAATTTTTATACTATATTGTCAAATAGCAACACAAGGCACAGAACAAGCTCTTTAATAAAATGAAATACGAAACTGCATACAGCGCCATCTAGCGATCACAGATTCTGTTAAGAATTCAAAGGGATTTCCATTTGACCATATTTTCCACCATTATATATTTTTGCCTTCTATTTTTATTTCTATAAATATTTATATGAAAATGTATTCTTACAGACATGTAGTTTGAAAAAATAAAATCTTACCGCTCGTCTAAACTAAACTCTTAGGGTTTGAGGCCTCACTTAATTAACTTAGGTTTATAATATATTATTATAAATACCAGAGCAGTAGGAATCCCAGCCGGCTTCGTGAAAGCTTTGCTCAACATTAAATGGCGTCTTCAATCTAATTAAATTCACTCCTTGTTCCAACTTCTTACACTTTCCCTCAGCAAAGAATTCATATAAACTGGAAATTAGTTTATTAGCTGTATATGTATATAACATAATTCTATAATTATTATTTTATATAATGATATCAATATATAATAGTGTAATTTATTTTAGATAATATCCTACAAATATTATTGATGGATGTTTGTTACTGTTTCACGCAAAAACTACTGAATGGATTTTAATAAAACTTATACTAAACTTATACTTTAGCTAATACTTCAGAGTAGCACATGGGTTACAATTTATAAAGATATTGTGTGAATTGTCCAAAATATCAATAAAGTAGGAAAAATCTACCATTCTGGCGTGCGCTGCCAAAACCACTAGAGTTACACATATGTAATGTATGGTGGAAATGTGCCACAGTATATATCTAAATCTTATGTGTAAAGCCAAAATAGTAAACCATAACTACAATAAAAATTGATAATTTCTTTCAACTGCACATAAATTCTGCAGTTCTGGTATTTAAAGTAGATAAAATATGTCTTTCACGCTACATTATTTGGACAAATATTATTTTAATTCTGCGCAGACGAAGTCGCGGGCACCACCTAGTTTAAATATATTTCATTTAGAATGATAAAGGTTTTCGTTTTAGGTCTAAAGTTACCCCCTCACATGTCGACTATATTCATAAAAAAATTACGTTTTAAATAAAGTAATAGTATGTTTGTTTAAGTTAAAGGAATAAATGATTTTATAAATAACTGTGTATGTCTTAATCTTACACTAAAGCTAATATGCGTATAATGATATATAAGTATATAACACCTTTTATAATTCAAATTACCCGCCCATTCCCGTTTGACAATTTACAAATCAATTTGAAAATTGTCAATTTAAACAAATTGGGGTTTAATCAAGATGGCTTAATTAATCGAACTAAATTTGTCGACCGAAACTGTCATTTTTATACAAATTAAGTTTTCGACTTTCTACATACACTACTGTTAAGGCGTCTTGTCTAAGCCCTCTGGTTAATTAAATGAGTTTCAATATTTTTTTTACTTTTTTTATGTTTAATCTATGAAAAAGCAATTAAATGAAGACAAGTAGGTAAAACCTTTGAAGTCTGTAACAAATTGATTTGCTGCGAATTGATTGCAGGACCTCGCTTACACACACAATTTATTTTATATTTTAAAAATAATTGCAAACTTACTCTTGAAGTCCATTGGTCCTCCATACTTCGTCAAAGGTTAGCCATTTCCCCATATGATATGAAATATGCTTTGTATCAAAAATTAATGGAAATGCATCATTAATATTCTTCTTAAATGTGGAATATTTATTTGGGAGGGGACCTATGAACTGGTTATGAAGTAAAATTGTATCTAAGTATACGTTATGGCCTATTAAGGGTTTTCTATGGGTGATAAGTAAGTCTATTATCTGTGAAAATCCCAGGAGATGACTCATAAGATTGCCTTCTAGTATCTGCATTGGTGCACTACTGGCTCCCTCTACATATTTATCCCTGTATATTAAAACCTGTAATAGAGAAACATATCTGCAACAATTATTGAAGGCTTAAACTTTAAATGTATTTTCTCATTAATAATAGCGGAACGAAAACCAGTGATGGCCAAGAGGTATCAGCATGCAACTCTCTATACTAATGGTCTAGTGTTCGAAGTATGGCTGTGCACCAATAAATTTTTCTTTATATGTACGGAATTTACATTTCAGGAACAAACATTATCACTACATGTGTCTGACACAAAAGGTTGAAAACCTACTCATAAGAATGATCATGGTTCTATCACCATTGGATAATTATTATTTTTTTAATAGACTAACTTTAATAAACAGACTAATAAAATACAATTATTACTTTTTAAAAACATTACTTTTAGTATAAGAAAATATTGAATGATCTCATATCCTCATATCAAAAAAAATCCATTTGTAAGGCATACGAAACTAACTTTTGTACACACGAATTTACCTTATTGCTATTACCTAAGCTATCGGTAGTGAGGATACCATCAAAGCGCAACCTAAGCTCGTTGTGAACAATGTACCTAAGTACTGGATCCTGAACATCTAAATACATAGTACCTTCATCACTACTTGCCAACCACCTGAAAAATATAATGTTATTATGAAATAAACTATACGAAATTTGTTTGTTGTCCTGTAATATCCACGTAATATAATAATATCCATAAATTCATTACTAGAAATTAACTGTTCAAAATCATGAGTACTTGTACAGGCAATAAAATGTTTTAATGTTTTTTTGTAATACAATGTATTTTTCTGTGTAGAGTTGTATTATAGTATTATGTACATGTTATGTTTATCTTCAAGCCCAAGTTTTTAACTTAAAAAAAGAACTCCTTTTATACATAATATTTTCATAGATGAAAATATAAGTTTCTACTATTATACACTTATATCACAAGCAAGGTACTAAGATTTCTTTGTCTATATTACAACTTACAACTACTTGTTGTAGATTGCATATTTCAAAGAAAACATCAACACTGGTTGCCTGGAAGAGATCGCTCGAAAGCGATAAGGCCGCCAGTTGCTCTCCTTTTTTATTTAATTTATGTCAATTGTACTATATTAATGTATATGCAACGAAGTGTTAATAAGTAAAAATAAATAAATATATTTTTTTTATTTCCTGATCTTCTCTTATTTTTTGTGTTAAACATACACCTCTTTGCCTCTAAGAAAACTGATCAATGAAACAAAAGCATAAATCTGATCTAATCAAGACCCCATTTGTGCCACAGGATGTATGCATTAAAGACTTACTTAGAAACTTCAGAGCAGTAACACTGTAATTTTCTCTCATCATCCATTTCCAAAGATCTTGTTAAGTTGTTAAACAGTTGTTTAGCCTTTAATTGCTGTCTAACCATAGCTTCCTCAGCTTTACTTAAATAAGGAAGTCCATTGTATGTAAACTGAAAGTTATTGAACAATGTGGTGAGTACAATGTTTAAAACTTCTTTATCTATAGAAAAGAACAGATTTTGCAGTAAAGCTCCTTTATTATAAAGTATTTTATCAATTCCTCAGTATTAAAAAAAAATGTGATTTTATCTCTCAATATTTAAAAAATCCCACATTAATTGATTCTATTTATAGACTTGATATCTTCATATTATGTAGATTTAAGTCAGTATTACTATAAAATAACAACACACAAATGGGGGTAGTCTGTTTGTAAATAATATGTATATGTGTACCTTATTAAAATCAAAGTTGTGTTTACAGAGAAATCGCAAGGTGGATGCTTGAAATATGAATGACTGGTCTATATCTCCAAATACTTGAGGACACAAGTGGAAAGTGTATCCAACAGCCTTATAAGTATCTAAGTCTCTATCATACAGGAACATTGTAAGACCTACTTGTGTCATTATCATTTTGCTTACTTCATTTTTCATAAGATTATATCTATCTTCACTTGTATCAAACAGTCTAAAATGTAAAATATGTATGAAGTTTTAATTAGTTTTTTTACGTTTTACAGGAAGTCGAAGAGTCAGACAATCTTGTAGTTGCTAACACCTATAATTACCTGTGTTTAAATGTTTCACTCGATAAAATAGCTGTAAATTCTGCATCAAATCCAACAAAACACGACTGCTTAAGGTTTTTCGAAATGTTTTCTAATTCCTCGCAGAAATTAGTATTTGTTATTTCCATGATTATATTGATTTTGAATCTTACATGTATGTGAGTATAGTGTACTTAACTAACTTGTAGTAAAATTTAATACAAAATCGTAATTGGTAAATCAGCACAAGGAATATAACAGATGGGAATTGGGAAATGGGAATTTTCAGGATTTTGGAAGTTGTGAACATTGACAGCTCGATACTCGACTGCTGTTTGCCCGTTTATCCAACTGTCACAATGATTAGGAATGGATTGTCATAAGTCGTGTCGATTTTTCATTACAGATTAAAGTAAAAATAATAATAACATTTTACAGGTTTATAATTTAATAAATAATTTTCTGAATTTTATAATAATAAAAAAAGTTTAACAAATACACTACTAAAAGAATAGTCTAGTAGTCATGCGTTACATATCCTCTTTAGAAATACGTAGATACCCTCATCTCAAAATTTATAGGAATGCCTAGCAGACCGGCCTATGAAATATTTTGCAATAAAATAATATTGCGGGTATAAATTGAGATGTAAGCTATCCTATCTTTTAAGTTGGATCAAACTACACACGGTGTCCAAAATTGATTGATATCGGTTCGGTAGTTTAGGAGTCCATAGCGGACAAACAACGTGACACGTAATTTATACCTATATATTAAGATGGTTAAGATATTAGTGGAACGTAGCGAAGTTCTCTAAAATTCAAATCTTCTCAAGGCTTTTAGCTTTCAATAATTTGTGGACAATCCAAAAACTTATAGTTTGTATAATTTACCTATTACTTACATTCTATTTCTGATGTCCATTTGTAGGCAATAACAGTAATCAAAATAATTCCAAAACGTGAGAAAAAAAAAAAATAATCGAAAATATCCTATATAAAGAACTTAGTCTAAAAATGGTATGTTAACTTATTAGATAGAGTAAGATTTCATTTGGAGAATATAGCTAGCTAAGATTATGTATATTTTTTTTAAAGGTGGGAACTGCAATCTCGTTAATTAAATATATCATAAGCTTTGATGACAGAAGTACCCATAAAACTATATTATAGGCTCAAATTTACTGTAGAGCCATAAGGAGGAAATATCGCACACTCATATGCTTAATATTTTTTTATAAATTCCATATAAGCCGTGGAAAAAGACAAAGATTACGCATACAGTTTCTAGATAGGTAATGTTAATGTTTTTGCATTTACTTGTCGCCAATATTTCAAATTTCGACGTATGTGAGTATGACGTGAGAGACTGCAATGCGCGGTTACGTAAAAAAATATTGTGGACCAAGGACGCCCAGTTTATAAGTCGATGAAGAAATTGCTACACAAGGGAACTTACTTTGCTAAATGCTTTGTTCATCTTCAAATATTAAAGAACACTTTTCAAGATTTATCTATCCTAACCTTACAGCCTATTATGATGACCTTGCTATAAGAGAGATAAAGAAATTTATAACTATTTATACGTAATTCTATTTTTAGAAATATACTATTCTATTCTACGCACGTTATAACCACTTCCTTATTAACCTACATCTTATCAAAAGCGGATAAAACTCGTTACATAATGGAACATGCATTCTATAAACCAACAAACGAATTACTGGACCCAAGCAGGTCGCATCGTCCAACAATATTAATAACTCTTGCACAATAACTTACATAAGGTAGAGAGAGCTCAGCCAATTTACTTCCGAAACCAGCCCTGAGCCGCGAAGCCTGAAGGTGCTAGTGATTGTTAGTCGCCACTTCTTGGTAGACTCGCGTGGTCGTGTTCGAATTATTGTGAAAAATAAAATGTAAGTTATGGTAATAGCTAAAGCCATGGAGGTTGAAAAGAAGATTGAGGATGTTGTGGTGATGAAGAAGCCCAACTACATGCTTATGTCCTTGCAGAGGATATTAGTGTTGTTCGTTATACTTATAAGTGTTATTATTGTTGTCTATTATACCCCAATGCCAGGTATGTGTATACATTTTCTTATAAATACATAAAATATATTTAAATTAACGTCTTTGAATGTCAGATAATATTTTATAATGCAATAACTCAACGAACTAAAAGGATGTCGTTATTGCCGTTATAATGTAGTACAGTGCATAGCAATTTAAACGTAAATTATTTTTGGAATGTTTTTTAATATATATTCATCGATATAAACATTTTTAAACGACATCCCAAGGGACTAAAAAACAAGGGCAAAAAAACGCTTTGCGACATGGGTACTGTTCAACGTGGAAATTTAATCTTTTCTCAATTCATGCTACTTTATTTTCTAAATGTATTCAAATAATAACAACGCAAAGAAATATTATTGTTACTTTCCATTCACGTTTAAATTTACTTCGTTTACACGCATGACTCAGCAAATAATATAAGAAACAATGAGAAGCACAAAAAACAAAACAGGTTCGGATAGAACTTATTAATATCAAGGTTTTGGAGATGCAACTTAAATTCCGTTTAGACGAAAACTGGATACAGTTATGGTTATATATTCGATCGATTAAAACGCGACTTCACATTGACAGTTCCACAGAGAGTTATTTTACAAATGGGATACATCTAATTAATGATAACGAAATGTTAATCAAAACTGGGTAACAGGTAGACCGCAGAAGCTATGAATTATTTATAAATGATTTTGGTAGCTGGTTAAAAAGTTAATGTCATTATCCATTCAAAATGAATATTTATTTGGAATAGTGTAATAAAACTGCTAGCGAGCCAATAAAGGCGTTAATTTTACCAGATTAGACCTTAAACTGTTTATTCAGAAATAGAGAAAGTTCTGTTAAACGTTTCTATAACTAATTTTTTGTTTATCTTTTCAGAGGAATACTTCGAAAATTGTGATCGCGAATGTCACGAGCTCGACTGGCCGATGATATGTCGTGTAAAACTTGTTATAGAAGTTTACAAAACAAACAGCAAGTACGTATTTTGATTAATACAATATCATCTAATTATAACATTATTTAATTATATTATTTTCCTTTTAGATCCTGCAATCATTGCTTAGAAACTGGCAAACCATGTCCGCCAATGTGCATCACAGCTGATGGAAGAGAGCGTGGTGTTCTTTCAGCAAATAGAGAACTTCCGGCACCGGCGTTCCACGTTTGTCAGAATGACATTCTCGTCGTAGATGTGGTTCACCGCGCACCAGCGCATGCACTCTCAATGCATTGGCGCGGTCAACCGCAAAAAGAAACTCCGTTCATGGATGGAACGCCAATGCTAACGCAATGTCCACAACCGGCGTACACGACCTTCCAGTATAAATTCAGAGCTTCAGCTGCCGGTACTCACATGTACCACGCCCATTCTGCCGCTGACGCAGCTGATGGTCTTGCTGGCGCTTTAATAGTACGACAGTCCCCTAGGCTAGATCCACTCAAACGCTTATATGATATTGATGCAACAGAACATACGATATTCATAGCAGAATGGGGTCACTCTATGGGGCCCTTGGCCGGAGTGTCTTCAATAGTTCCTAATGCTGAATCTTTACTGATCAATGGAAAGGGTAACACCTTAGAATCGCCAGATGCTCCACTAGCAACATTTAATGTTGAATATGGGAAGAAATACAGATTCCGGCTTGCATACGGTGGGGGTGTTAAAAGTTGTTCAGTTAAATTTTATATTAAGGATCACACGTTGGACCTAGTTTCTTTAGATGGGAATATGATCGAGGCTGAAAACGTTAATAGTATAACTATAGGGCGAGGTGAGCGTGCTGACTTTGTTTTGAAAGCTAATAGACTGTCTGGTGTTTACGATGTAAAAGTTGAAGCTGATAGAGGCTGTCAAGACAATTTAGAAGGTGTTGCTAAGTTAACGTATAAAAGTAAGGAGAGCAAAGTGCTTCATAAAGACGATAACGGCTCGGTGGCCAATGAGCTGGATAGAGACTTTACGACAGTGTACAGTGATAAGTGCAGTACTGAAAAGTTATTGTGTTTGGATGAAGTGCATTCTACAAAGAAACTGTCAGAAGAATTATCAGGGATCCCGGATGAAGTTATCTATATGCCCTTTAATTATTCAACGCGGCAAATATCTGCAAAACGTATTGGTGAGTAATTTCCTAATAAAATATACATAGAAACTTAATATGCAGAACTGGGCTATGACTACATATAACTACAGCTGTGTGTAATCGTGACATATGGTCTGATATTTTATCACTACAGATAATAAAATAATTGACTATAATGATGTTACATATAATCTATGTAAAATTCCTTTTAAGACAAATTTGCACACCATTATGTGTGGCAGAATATGCGAACTTTAGATAATACCACCATAACCTTTTTGTACCATATTCTTGCTAATTACTTATTATAATTAAAGTAACGATAAAAAAAAATTAATGTTCAAATTGTGCCGAAAATGTGAGAGCTTAATTTTGTTTCTAAAATCAATTCACTTTTTAAAACTACGGCTCGATACTTAAAAGTTGTCTGCCATGCAAACAGAATGAATGTTAGTATTATACAAAAATCCTTTTTAAAACGCTATAACCGGATTCCAAAGTCGTATTTCAACTTTACCAATCCTCGAAAAGTTTAGCAAAACAATATTTCAATTTGAAATTCGTAAAACCTGTAAATGTTTCGTTACTTATCCAATTATAACTATTATAAAAAGCGTGGGGTCATCATAAGATTTCTCTGCAAAATGTCAAGCAAAAGGTTAATAGGTGAATTCACTCGCCTTTGATTTACACGTTTTTAGTTAAATGCATTAAGTGAATTGTATAATATAGTGAACGGTAAAAAACGTTGCGAGGTTTTCCAACTTTAAAAACGTTTGACAATTTATATATCTCAACTTAAGTTAAATAAATGACTTACTTTTGATGTCCTATAAGTCCTAGATGGGACAGAGGGTATCCATAGTGAGTCTCCATTGCGTTCGGTCTTGAGCCTCGTATTTCCCCTCACTCCAAGACTTTCCGGCTCTCCTCTGCAACTGTACGACGCCAGGTTTTGTTCCAATTAAGCGGCTGCTTGGGAATATGATTGGGATCCCTTCGGAGTGTCAATAAGTACATGAAATCAATAAATAATATAGAGGTGGTGGATTGGAACTCAACTTTCGAAACACACGCAGAAGTACTGTATAAATGCTTTAGTGTAGTCCAATTACACAAATACGTAGCTAAAATATTAAACCAGTAGTCTTGACGATGAAAATTGGATGACGATGGCAAAAAATAAAAGTTGGACGAGGCCTTCTCCCGGACAGTGGCCGTAGAATAGTACAAAATTTATTTATATCTATTTTTGTTAATAAGATGTGGATGAATAAAAGCTCATTATTATTATTATTCTTGACGACTGAAGTTTTACAATTCGTAAATGGTATTTACTTTAAAGACGCGGTTCACGGTTTTATTGTGACACAGTTTTACAAAAGAAAACCAAAGTAGGTTAACGCATTATAATAACAGCCACGGACTCTTTGCGAAAGCGTACATAATTATTATTATGACTATTACTAATTATAGGTTTATTCAGTATGCATTATATTTATTTACACTTCGTTGCCATACAAATAAAAAACAGATTTCATTAGTTACTAAGCAATGGGCAGGCCGCCCATTGCTTAGTTTGAGGGTGACATTGAGGGTAAAGTACAAGAAGTGCATGAATATTTTTTTTTAATATAAAAGTCAAAGCTAATTTAGGGTTAATGAGTCATAATGAATTTATATAATATATACATCGTATGGTGCTAAGGATAATATATGAAACACTGTATTGTATTGTAAAAGTTTTTATTGCCCTAAAAAACTTTTTGGCCTTAAAATAACATCTTGAAAACTTCAAGGGAGATGTTCTTGTATGTTTGTTATTTGTTTGACAATGCTCTGAGACTAACCCGGCATACAAAATGAAAACTTATGTTTTGTATCGACAAAATAAACCTATTAACAGTTGCTAATGGTAATGACTTTCAAACTAGGCTTTATACCCTTAATACCTGCGGCTAATAGAATTCCCAAGAGCTTTTCCATGTTATTAAACCTATCGCTATCATACTGGTATATATGCATTCCGTGTAAAGAAATAATTCAGAAAACCATTTTTATTTTAATAACTAGCAACCCCGTAGGATAGTGTGATATAGCAAACATACCTCATACCTTTGTTTGATAAAATGTAGCAATGACGTATATTACGTGGATAAAATGTCTTTCTTATTAGCTATGATATTCAAAATCGGGACTTTTGTCCATAATTTAATTGGTTGCTTATAATCAAATGCCATAACTCTCATGTCGCTAAGAGGCACATGGAAGGCTAACGGCTGTAGACAGAGACGTAAAGATTAAATAATCTGTAGCAGTACAGAAAAAATATATTATGTAAGTAATCTCGATCTAAGTTGGTTAAGAAAATTTTAATACTGTTTATTTGTTTGCTATGCTTTGGTTTTATTTAAATAAATAAAAATACTGTTGTTTTAAACAAATTACAAGTTAATTTTAAAGACAAAGAAATTGTTACTGCTAATTAAATTCAAAGTAGTTTTTTCAATTAAATTAATTATTGCTTAATATATATATCCTTGGTGCCTGAAGGGCTACACCACAAATTGAAATTCCTAATAAACTAAAGAGTAAAAAAAAAGGGTGCGTGTACTTATGTACGCGCGTAAGAAGTTATACTTCTTTGGCTTTCTTTATTTTTTTTAAATATAATTAATTAATATTTAACGTAAACAATTTAATAATATTTAATATTTAGTATATTATTCAATTATTAATTAATATTAATAGCAATTATTATTATTATTTATTATTTTATTATATTATTCATTCAATTTAATAACTTGGTATGTTTCATAACCTTTTAACTAAGTAACAATAGGTCTTTGTGAAAAAACATTGCTAAATTTCTTTGAAAAAATAATTAAAACTCCTTTATTTGTTTAAAATGTAAATGTCATTATTGTCTTTCAAAATTATTGGCATAGCTGCTAACTTCACGCATATTCTATTTCTTTTTACTTGTAGATTGTCTTATTCCCATCTCGCTCGCGCACGCTATAATCACACTGACAACTTTGTGTCTCAGGTGCGCGCGCATCGTATCTTATCATATCATAACTTAAAAAAGAAACAAAAACATTTTATAGTAGTTTATTACAAGTACCTACTAATATTGTATATTTTCTATTATATTTGGCAGTGATACAGGTTGGGTGTCTATAGTAAAATTGAATGAATGAATCTAGGACCGGAAGTAGTTTTTGTTAAGAAAAAATGGTCTTATAACAAAAACTCGAAGTTTGTTAAGTAATGCCTTAGAAAGTGTCGCCTAACTTCACTTATCGATCTGGTACGGCCATTTAGTTAGGAAATAGCAATATAATCTTTATTTCTGTACTAATATTATATTTATTGTTTTTTGCAACGAAGTGTTAATAAATAAATAAATAAATAATATTGTAAAGAAAAAGATTTTAATAACGAATAAACTTATTAACTACTGGACTAACCTTTTACTGGGATTTATCTTCTGTGTCTTTAAAATTTTTAACGTGATAAAATGCACAACACTTGGGAAATCAAGAGTTTATACGTATTTTAACACGTTGGCATGTTTTATTAATTGTAAGGACGACGTTGTTTCATTTCGTTTATACGCGGTGTCCTGCGTAAGCGACGAATACAACGCGACGCGACGCTGTGAACGCGACCAACGCAATCAAATCAACGGCATACCCTACTTACGGCCTATGTGACAGTCTGCGGCGAGACGCGACGTCACGCGTACTTGTTTTGAGGGCGACCAGACGCGACACTACGAACTATGAAATGGTTGATTCTGAAGCGTTGATCGCCGCAGTGCGTGAGCAAAGATTGTTGTGGGACAAAAAACATAAACATTATAGGAATCGTTTATTAGTAACACTCCACAATATTGTTTAAACATTTTAGAATCGTTTCTTAATTTTGGATATAAATGATGGAACTCGCCAAATGTGTTTCTTTGTAAAAATATTATATTTGGTTTTTTTTCTATGCTTTTTACGATATTTTTTTAAAAGTCTATATTTTAAGTATGAACTTTCGAGCAAAATTGTACTGTACTTCTCCATGATTCGAGAAGTAATGACCAAATTACGTAGGACATTCGTCGCGTGTAGCATCGCGTCGCATTACGTCGCGTCGTGTTGCGTCGCGTCGCGTCGTATTCGTCGCTTACGCAGGACACCGCGATACAATGGCCCCCACGGGCAGGAAGCACTCCTGATGTTACGTAATACCGCCGCCCATAGACACTCACATTGCCAGAGGGCTCGCAAGTGCGTTGTCGGCTTTTAAATAAATCCAAGTCCACCATTGTAAATCCGCAATGTGCGGCTAGTATAGTAAAGGTTTATTAGGTAACTTTGAAATTGGATAGGTATCAATAGTGAAAATTAAACTTCAGTATTCAAATAGACTAAACAATGGATAGGATTCTGTAACTTAGTTAGTATTGTATTGACTTCCAAGTAAAGGTGAGTAATATATTTATGGATATCTCTTGTTTTCACTAATACAGATTCCTCATATAAACTACTGCCTCTTTTCATCATAGCCTAGACACCATTTGAGAGAAAGAGACGTAAGAGTTATGTTCAATAATAATAATTATTGATGGCTTAAGTAGTATCATATAATTAACATTTTAGAATTGACAATCTCCTCCATATAACCGTATCCTATATACATGTAATGTATTGCATATAGAGTGCAATTTATTTTTAATAAGAAGTCGGTCTTTATTTATTTACACTTTGTCGCATTACAATATAAAAATTTAACATATGAAAAATAAAAAGTAAAAAGTGCACATGAATCATCACTTTTTCAATTAATCTTGAATTTAAATTAAGACTAAATATAAAACACAAGACAAGTCGCGCTCTATTGTTTATGTTTGATAAAGTGTGTTTTCTAATATTTTGAGTTGACCAATCACAATCAAACGAATTTTATCATCTTTGGTTTAGATTCTCGGCTGTTATTAGAAATACAAGGGTTTTGTTTTTAATAAACAATCGTACTATTTTTTGGAAACTGATACTTTCGACTCTTGACGAAAACCTACCTGATATCATCTCAAATATGATTAATTGCTTCACTTCTAGAAAAATTGCACTTCCATTTTCCTGCATACTAGACTCGTAATCGTGTGACTCAGTTTTGTATCGCGCAGTTAGGACATACAACGATCACTATTGAAGCCTAGACTTGTTTAAGCTATCGTGGAATATGCTTAAAAGGAGCTTAACGCTTTATCACCATCACATAACACAGCCAAAGTCGGTATTACTTAGTTAAATGTATTAAATATTGTTTCCTTTCGTAAACGTTTGCACCTTTTCGTATATATAGTATGTATTCCATTTTTGGCTATATAGTATAATTGTTTTTAAAGAAAAAACTTTTTAACCGGATTAAAGTTATGTATTATTATAAATTTACAATTATTTAACATAATTTTAAATGTGTAAAGGTTATGTCAATCAAAGACAATACTATAATTGTTTTTTATATATATGATTAATACTGAGATTACGAACTAAATAAACTTTAAAACAAAACATTCTCTATACCTAGTTAGTCTTCATACTTTCATACATTGTTGCGAACATGAAAAGGACTTTATCTCCGCCTCAAACTTTAAACCGAAGTTATGACAGCTCGTTTTGTTTTCATTAAAAGCGAAACTTTGTTGCGTTCTCCACAACTATAACGAGAAGAGCTAATGTTACGTAAAACGTAAAGTAGAACGCAATTATTTCGTGATTTCAGTTCAATTACTACCCGCTCGGTCGATGTTATTTAAATAATAAAGGTTTTAATTTTCTCTGCAAATAATTTTGCATCTGTGTAAAGCTTGATACTACAACACTTTTTTGTGTTTATGATCATTTAAATAATTTCTTAAATTTTTTTGAAATATTTATTTATGAAAAAGATTGAATAAAGATATAGTTAAATAAAATAAAGACATGTACACACATTCTTAATAAACAAGTATAAAGATTGGCAACACACCCGTAAGAACCCATGGGCGGCATTAACATTTTATTCAGATACCCTGGAAAAGAGCAGCTACAGATCACAAAACAACTATTGTTTCGCTGGGAATCGAACTTAGGACCCATATCGGTATGCCTTGTATACTAGGGCATATTAAAAATTATTATTGAAGTTATACTTTTTTTGGCGCGTTATGTTAGTAAGTAGTAGAAGAGCAAATATTTACGATGCGCGCGCACACCATCAAAAAACCGACAACATTTATAGTCAACATTTTAGTTTTTTCTAGAAAGGTAGTATAAAAATTTTGAAAAGATTTTTAACTTGTTACGTCAAAGAAGAAGATTCATAACTTCTAATGCGTGTAATAAGTACACACACGTTTTTTTTTTAAATAATTCAACCAATTTAAAAACAGAATTTAATATTATATAATTAAATGTCATAAAATATATAATAATTAAAATTCATAAACGTGTCAGTGAATGTTTGTAATTGTATAGTCATTACTAAAAATGCCGCTATTGAGAGACCGTTACTTTGAGAATTTCTCATCTGACCTATTGTTGTAAATTATTAATATTCTCGAATATAATCTTATATCAATAAAAAACTATGAAAACTTATTTACGTAATTATTTGTAGACGTAAAACTTTATTTAAACAGTTTAAAGAAGTTTTAAGAACGAATAGTAATCACTCACTTGCCTATTTAGAAGAAAAATACAAATAATTAAATTATAATTTTAAGAATGCACGTAAAAGAACAAGAAATCAATTCATCTTGAAGCGATCGTAAGCATAAATTATTTACTTATTACGTGTTCATCTAATTACTTATGAATAATTAATCAATCAAATTTTACTCCAAATAAAATTAATTTGTAGTACAAGAAGCTTTATATAAATTGGTTAAACATAATTACATATTGTATATTAAGATATTCTAAGTTGATCAGCTTTCTAGTTTATTGAAACTATGTTATTATTATGTTACAGCATTCTAAAGCGTATACAAGGAAAGTAATCACCGCTGGCAATCACGTCTGCAACCGCGAGTAATATCTTGATTGCCATAATCTGTGGATATGCACCATAGATATTTTTTGCATAGATTCTAAACTTTTTATATTTACTACTTATATGTTTTTTTTATATATGGCTCCGGCACGGTTTGTGCATTAGCCAGCGTCAAGTATAATATTTTTATAATTCGTGCTTGCCTCTAGAAATTCGACCGTGTCCTCCATGTACGGTTTTAAGCACTCGCCCGGTACCGCACAACCCTCCCAAAGGCCGAGAACAAATTTAAATTAAATTAAAACTTGCCCTCGAACCGGGAATCCAACCCGGTACCCCTCACCTAGCTGCCACTTAATAAGACCGCTAGGCTATGAGGCCCCTCTATGTTAAATTACGTACAGGTATTTTTGACAGACTTACAATTTATGCTTGCCTTGTCTATAATTTATTTTTAAATTAAAAAATAAAATACAATAACAAAAAAAAAACCTCACAAAATTAGAGGTTTGGAATTCAAGCATTTTCATTTATTTTTCCTCTTACAGTTTTTAGCGGGAATTGATTAAAAAAATAGGTTTAGAATGCAAGTTTTTTTCTTATTTTCCACATCTTTCTACTTTGCTGTGATTTTTTATATTAGTCTAATTAAAACTGGTTTTTATATTACCGATTAATTGGTTTCGATGCGTCAATCATAAAACAATAAAAATGTATCAATTCAAGCATTTACAGCTTTCTTTTATAGCACTTCAGTTCACATAAAAGCGTGAATTCATTAGCACGACGACATCTTAATTAATATTGATTTAATGTAGATACAAGCTTCAATCAAACAATCGACTGACCGAGCAAATACAACGAGTAAATGTACTGAGAAAGATCAAACCGTACAAAAATTACTAAGAGAGAGTGTTAAAAATACTTTTAGTTTTATTGAAAAGGGGTCGTTGTCATACATTGTTTGTAGGGAATTAGAGCTTGGTAAGTTCAAATCTATGGTTTTTCTATGGTTCGGTTCTCAAGTCTATGATCGCACTCTTACACTCTCAAGGCCCCTTCTGCACTTCTGCTGTGTACCAATCGAACTCCTTTAACAATTATATAATATAGGATGTAGGATCTTAGGCCTAAATTTGATTGGTGGTTAATTTTAACGGTATGTTTTCTATTAAGACCATCATCAAGGAAATAAATTAAACAAGTTCAAAAATTCACTATATTAAAGTGGCTATAGCTAGGCCTGGAAGATCTTAGTTTAATATAGTATATTTTTTCCAAGCGAAGTTTAATCATTTGATGAATCCCGGTAAAGTATCTGTTCAGTATTACCATGTAATGTCCGGTAATGCTGACATACAGACCGAAAAGATACAAAATCTTATTTATACTTATTATATAATCTTTATTATTACCCATTGCTACAGTTTTTGGCAATTATATGTACACGCTAAGTCTACACATTAATTAAAAGTATTACTTGGCCTAGTGGCTTCAGCGTGCGACTCTCATCCTTCAGGTCGTAGGTTCGAACCCCGGCTGTGCATCATTGGACTTTCTGTCTATGTGTGTTTCTATCTAAAACATCGTGAGAAAACCGGCTTGCCCTAGATTCAAAAAGTCGACGCCGTTTGTCAAGCACAGGAGGCCGATCACTTGCCTATTACAAATGATCATGAAACAGTTATAAAATCTGAGGATCAGACCTAAGAAGGTAGTAGAGCCACGGGTTTTTTTCAAATTGTAATTTTATGCGTTATATAAAAATATTATTATTATTGCTTTAAGACGAGGTTGGTGTGGTTAAAGAAAAAATATGACGACTGACAGAATGTTTATTGCCACACGTCATATAATACGTTTTATAATGAACTGGCAAAAAATTTAGAATCATTCCAAATTATTTGAACATATATTATGATATACTCGTCTAGTAGCTTTCCAGGTAGTATTTGATAATTTTCATAATTGCGTATTTGTTAGAATTGAAAGTGTTAAAATCATAGGAGTAGCTAGTCATTGTTTTAACGATGTGTTAAGTAATAATTCTTAAGAGTTGCAACGGAGAGACAGTCTTAGGAATTTATTAGAAAGTATTTATCTAAGTACGTCATGATAGATTAAGGCGTCTTTGTATTATTAGGCTTTGAAGTGTGTGCTTTATTCGAATGTTATGTGTCGTATCTCATACAGATTTTTGTACGAAGGATAGTGCTTTGTGTAAATACAAATCTTATTTTAAATAATAATAATATAGCTTTATTTTGTTCCATAAAAATACAAACACAACACAAGACATTAAGGAAGTAATAAAATTAATAAAATAAAATGTTGTATGAGTATTTATATTGACCCCCCAAAAGCCTCCTCCAAGGCATTCCACAATTTTCTATATTTTGCTATCTCCAAACATTATTGGTGGTTGTTTTCATACATAACAATAGTTTTTTTTATTAAAATAAAATATGTTTATTATGGAACATAAGACACAGGTATCACTTATTCCACGTCATTAAATTTGAATCTGAAGGCATCCCTACTCATGGACAAAGAAGACAGAGGGTGTAGGCCGAGAGAAAAAGCCGGCATAAAAAACTCTCGGTACTCTTTTAAAATAGCATATCATCAAACAACACTTATTTTAAAACAAATATCGCAAATTAATTAGAAGTAGCCTAGCACTAGTCCCAGGCCCTTTTATCGACTAGATAATCGTTAACTTTATAGTAAGCCTTTTTACACAGCTTTTCTTAAATACATTTCTTAAATTTATCAAAAGGCAGAGATAAAAGAGCCCCTGGAATTTTATTAAAGAAGAGTATCCCTTTTCCCAAAAAAGAATTACTAACTTTAGATAGTCTAGTACGGGGAAATTGCAGCCTGCGTTTGTTCCGAGTGTTAACATTGTGCATATGTTGTATTCTAGCAAACTTTTGTACAATTTTATTGTAAATTTGCATAACATTTTCATAAATATTATTCGTATAGATAATATAGATAGGTAACTATACTTTACTAGCAACAATAAATGTTTCGGTTTGTTAAATATTTCGTACAAAAAATCTTGAATAACAGTTTTTTAACCTCCGTTGTTAACGCTTATTATTTCAAAGAACAATGCATTTGATTTTATTTGTTTAAATAATATGTATAATTTAAAATGGCTTAGAATCGAAATAGGAAGTTACTATTCATTTGGTCAAAATACACTTGCATTTTATCATATCAAAATGGCGGTCATCGTGTTTGTTATATTATCTTTACGTAATGTATAAGTTGTAACTTAAACTTATGTAAGCTTAAATTAGAATTTAAGTAATATTCTAACTCATTCTCTGAGTCATTCACTAAACAATTATATCATATTTACCAGAAATAAACAAACATTCTTCAGATTGATTGCGGTCATTAATTAACGAAAAAATATTTTGAATCTATGGTTAAATTGACATACAAATGTTTTAACCATTGAAATGCCATGGACAGAGATAATAAGAATTTGTATTGTAGAACTTTATTAAGTAAATTACTGAGTCTTTACTTTAATTATTCAAAATTAATAATACTACATCGAAAAACGATGCAACGCATGAACCAAATTGCATTTCTGAAGTTATTGATTCACGGAAGCCTAGTGCCTCTTTGACCTAGGTCTTACCTAAATAGCTTAAGTAACTTTCTTCTAATAACCTTTGAATATATATGTATTAGTTATATTGTTAAAACAAGCATTAAATCTATCGTTTATGTAAACTCAAAACAACTTTAAAAAAAATATTACACATTTTTTGCGTCAATATTACACAGTTTAACTGCAGCATTTTAACTTTAGTACTCCATCTCTTTTTGAAACATTGCAAACACAATTTGACAGGAAGAGACGAAATAGTAGTTACAATAAAGTAATGAGTAGTACTATGAATAAAATAAAGGAGGTAAATTACTGGGATAAGTCATTTAAATAGTTACATAGCTTTACAAAGAAGACACAAATTTGTTGTAAAATCTTTTTTGTATCTAGCACTTGAGTATATAACTATTTCGTATCATTTAATTGCTAATAAATTTTATGTTAATTGTCATAATCCGACATTTTATAATTTTTAACTAAAGCCATTTGCATAAAATTAAGTGTAATTACTTTTTTATTTGATTCTATAACTCATATTAATGACAGCGATTTCAAAATTATAGCTGCTGTTGCTCTAGGCGTTTAAATAGTTAGACATCGTAGGCTGATGCATGCGTCTAGTGAAATGCTGGTCTCCAACACTGAACTTTCATTTTAATAATAATAACCCATAAAAAAAACTATGTTCACTTTGCTTAGGCCCGTGCAACAGTGTACCAGGATCAAGAATCGATCCTGAGCTAAAGTATATATAAAATAAAAAATACAAGTAATTTTTTGGTTTGCTGCTAAAAAAAATTAAAAAAACAACCAGCAGCTACTTTTCATTTATATTTCTATCACCTCATTAATTCCTATCTGTGTGCCCTTTTTTGGCAAAGCCTCCAAACCCCGCCATTTCTGTCTGCACTGTACTACTCTCTGCCATGTACCACTTGCTATTTGCTTAATCTGGATTCTGGTCAATCCGTAAAATCACTTTCGCCCAGATTTAATCGGAAAAAAGAATCTGTGGCGCTACAACCTCTTTAGGTTCTCAGATTTCTGAATCTGTTATATGATAATTTTTTTATCTAATAGGTGATCAGCGTGCATGACACACGGTCGACTATTTTTTTTAGGTCTAAGACATGTCGGTTTCCTCACGATGTTTTCCTTCACCGTTCGAGCGAATGTTATAAGCGAACGACCTCAAGGATGAGAGTCGCACGCTGAAGCTATTAGGCCATCACTGCTCTAACGATTTAATCAGAGGGGAATATATACAGTATTATTTGCAATCAGTCCGCGAATTGATCCTAATCCTAGTCAACGGTCCTATTACCAAACCTGGACATGCGGCCTTCAATTTGTCTATCTATAAATAAAAAATAGAAAATATTATCTACATAATTTTTCAATGTAAAATTTACATTGTATTTAGCGGATGCTTGGCGGACCCATGCAACTTCTATACACAAAGTCCCCTCGGAAGTTGTGTGCTGTGATATCGCGGGCGACTCGATTGGGTTAATGATACACCATCTTAAGTTCTCTCTCATGTTATTTTCACATGTGTATAATATTCTTTTTGAAGTTATACTTCTTTCGGCGCGTTAGGGAATAATTATGAGAGCATTTTTTTACGATGCGCGCACACCGTCACAAAAACCGACACCTTAAGGTCAACATTTTAAAATAAAAAAAATTCATTTCTTTAATTATGTAAAAATATTTTTTTTTGTGATATTTAAATAAACTTTATTTAACTAGATAATGCGTTATAATAAAACTTTCAATGTATTAAATACCTTTTTTCTATTGTTAGTGTCGTTTTTTCTACAAACGTAGAATACAATTTTTGAAAAGATTTTTATCTTGTTAAGCCAAAGAAGTATAACTTCTAACGCGTGAATATAAGTACGAACACATGTTTTGTTATAACATATTAACATAAGTATTGGATTGTCTAAATTTTAACATGTGTGATGTTTGAGAGCATAAAAAAAACACAAAGTAGCCATTTTGTAAGAGAATGCCATTATATGAAGCTTGTTGCAATCGCACCAGGAAATCTCAGTCTGCATAACGTTTAAAGTTAATATTTATCGTGGGTCAAACAACGCTAAGCAAACATATCCCCGAGCTAAGTATATTGGCTTTAACTTTTTAGTTTTAACACTTGTTTCCTTGCGAACAGGAAACTAAGTGTTTTACGAGAAAACTAAGAAACTGAGACGTTGCATACACTTGTATTTCTTTTAGAAAGTTAATAAAGTTTAAAAAGCGATAAAAGATGAAATATACCGTATATTAACCGTATACCTTAAGTACGGAGCAGTCATTTTTAGTTTTTTTTTAATAATTACTGCGATGTTAAAATTGTCATAATACATACATAAATAAACAATATTCTTAAACTACAATAATAATAATGCCGGTAAAATTATATATTTTTTTTAATGAATGTAATTTAAATTGTTTAAGCCGTACCTGAACCGTAGAAGTCAATGACCGTTTGGACATTGTTTTGGTAAAGGTGCATATTTGTTGGGGCTTATTGAATGTAAAGATACAAACGCAGAAATGTTCTTGATTATAAAGTACACTGTGATGAAAACTTGTATTTTTGAGAATATTTTCTTATTCTTAGTAGATATAATTGGTCAATCTATCGCTTAATTATTTCAATTAAAGTTATCGGCAACGCCCGTATAGCCATCTTGCGAGAAACCTTATCGAGGTCCTCTCGAATATTGGTGAGTCTATTTGTCGTTGTATGTTTTGTATTTGATTGAAACAGATAAAAAGCGCACCGTCCTCACTCTCGCGCTCGCGTCGCCTCGTCAAGAGTATGGATGGGGGTTAATAGTGTAGTAAGAGCGAAAGAGTACAAAAATCAAAATCAAAATCAAAATCAAAATACGTTTATTCAATTTAGATGCTTCTTAAGGTCGATTTACATCAAACGAGCGAATGCTCATTCTATCCCCACTACATCAAATTCTTCTAGTGTAAACAGGCGTAGAGCATTCTTTCGTTGTTCTTAGTGCGTTCGCAAAGATTCTATAGAATATTCTAAGAATGCTCGTTCGCTTGATGTAAACGGCGCAAGAGCGCGCGAACAGTTGCTTAGAGCGTTCTAGCGTGTTCGGACGTGCTCGCGCCACTGAGCGGTCTTTTCAAAGCGTTCTTGTGTTCTAGCTCTAGCTCTATGTTCGTTTGATGTAAATCGATACCTCTAGCTTTCGTTTACACTAAAAGATTACGAAAGAATGCTCTTGTTCTAGCTCTAGCTCTATGTTCGTTTGATGTAAATCGACCTTTAGAGCATGCTTATGAATGTCAACAACGTTTACAAAATTCACGAAAGAGCAAGACTACGCCAGACTACGTACAACAATATGTATTCACTACTCACTCTTTTCATACCACCTCTGATTAAAGTCATGACTGACTGAAGTGATGATAATATAACTTATAGTTATAACGGGTAGTAGGCAGATTGCCCAAATGATGATTATGTAATATGAACGTAGATTTATATGAATAAAAATGCTTTTTGAATTATATTAATAATTGTATATTCCCTTTCAGAAAGCTGGGGTCAGTCGGATGGTCACCGTTTCACGTACCCAGCATCACCTCTCTTAACACAAGGACCTGAAATAGGATCAGAGGCTCTTTGCTCAGAGCCTGGACAAGCTGAGGAATGTGTTCATGTCAAGAACATTCCTTTGGATTCCACCGCGGAGATTATTATGTTCGATCAAGGTATGTAAAAATACACTGGAAACACGAAAGATATGTCCAGTATTATGTAATAGTAGACTTTTGAAGGCTATTGTTGCCCACGTTTCAAAAAAAGCGTGCCAGCGGGGAATAGATAAAGTATGCGTTGTATAATAAAAGTGAAAACTTCGCCGTAGTCACTTGACTGTGAATAATTGATGAATTAATTAATAAAAAAAGAAGTTTTTTTCGATTCTATTGGGGCCAGCTGTAGGTAGTAGCAGCGGTAGGCAACTCTCTTGTACAAATCATCATCATAGAAATGATGATGATTGATGAACTTGGACTGTTTCCCATAATCATCTCGTTATATTTAGTGTTAAAGACATTTGAAGATGTACTTAACTTCCTACGTATACGATTACCAAACTCGCTTGGACTAAACAGATCATCATCAATCAATTGCAACTGTTATATGATTGATGGATAACCTCCTTTATATTTAAAAGAGACATCACTATTTGTACATACAATTAGTAAAATAAAAATATCAATTTGAGTCATAAATTTGTAAATAACGTTTTGTATAAAGAATTAACGAGTGTGTGTCGGCGTGCGGCTCTCATACCTGAGGTCGTAGGTTCTATCGCCGGCTGTGCACTAATGGACTTTCTTTCTATGTGCGCATTTAACATTCGCTCGAACGGTGAAGGAAAACATCGTGAGGAATCCAGCTTGCCTTAGACCCAAAAAAGGCACGCGTCAGGCATAGGATCACCTATTAGATTGACAAATGATCATGAAACAGATACAGAAATCTGAGGAATACAGAATAAACAGAAGTTGTAATTACATCTATATGAATAACTAATACACATAAGACCGTTAATTCATGCTAAGTGTTAGTTATATTAGTGACTTCCGTTGGAAAGCAACAATAACATATGAAATGTAAAAAGTAAACAAAAAAAGGGTGCGTGTACTTATGTACGCACGTAAGAAGTTATACTTCTTTGGCATTATTAAAATTGTTTTTGATTGCAAGCAAATAATTAATTACAATTAAATAATCAAAGACTGGAAAAGGAGTCATTATAGTCAATAAAGTTCAGTTTACATTTGAAAAATTAAATAAATAAATATTTATTATTATTCTCTTACATTAAGTGTAACATAAATTCTGTTTTGTATAATAATGTCCAATACCGTAGCATCTTCCATGGCCAACTTCATTCTGTTAATTTTGTGTCACGGTGCGCGCGCATCGTAAAATTTAATTCTCATCAATTTTTCATAACGCGCCTAAAGAAGTATAACTTTAAAAATATAAAACAAATGGTGACTTTCACCAGTATAATACTCGAAACATAATTATATATATGAGCGTATGAGTCTCCAGAAGATAAACCACTCCTTGTAAGAAATTGTGTTCGTTTTACAACAAACTTCCAAGCGAAATTAGAGAATTATCACTGAATAAATTCAAAACTCTCGTTAAACGTAAATTAACCAATACAATTTTGTACAAACTTGACCTTTTAAATAATAAAGATTTCAAATATTTATGCCTGTCCTGCGATTCTGTAACTCACTTTTCGAACTCACACAGCGGTTTTCGCATCGGCGGTCGCTCTCAAATCAGTCGTGAACCAATATGTGATAAACAATAAACTACAAGCTCCCACCTTTTCAGAATGCCAACTCATAAAATGACTGGTTCACGACTGATTTGAGAGCGACCGCCGATGCGAAAACCGCTGTGTGAGTTCGAAAAGTGAGTTACAGAATCGCAGGGCTGCTCTGCCTTACAAAACAATTTGTATCACTCAAAACTTAGCGATTAAAAAGAGTGGCGGAGATTTTTTTGCCAGTTCTTTTCACTCGGTCTACGCCCTTGACTTGCGAACTGGTAGTAAATATAAATTTAGAATCAATTCAACATCTTTTCTGTTGACGTTCATAAGTGTACTTGGTTACCTATGTGGATAAAGCTATTTTGAGTTTGAGATATATATTTACGAGATTTAATTAACAGTTTTGGCACTTCATGCAATTCAATTTATCTAAATTACCTGTCACCTGTTGCCTCTGAGATGATAACTGCTAGTTTTTCCAATTTCTTGAGACTGGCCCTTTACACGTAAACTTGATATTAGAGATCACTACTATGTGTGGAGACAAGGTGCGCAAGCAATGGGACACGATCGAAATATCGCGATATTGGCAATACACTGTAACTACCGAAACCGATCGTGACTTCAATGTTGCGTTATTGTACAGAGCAGTAAGATACGTTAAAATTGCATACAAAAATGTCGAGTACAGTTACAAGTACCGATGCAGGCGCAGGGCAGTTAGACATGCCGCACAGGAGCTGGTTTAAACTAGTCTAACATGATTATTTTTATTTATTTAAATTATCTCGCCTTTTCCCAAAGGGAAGGCAGAGATCACGGATCTCTCGCTGCGGTCCTGACATACCTCTTTTATGACATCAGGCATGCTTGTCGGTTATAGGTACTTTTAACTGGTCCTTTCTCTAGTACCTTTTGGATTTGGTCCAAGTATGTTCCCAACCCGATATACAAGGCAACCATCCACGGTTGCCTTGTATATCCTACTTGTTCACCACTTCTCAATGATCCCGTCTAATTGGCCAAACCACCTAAGCATTTCTTTTCGTATCCATGTCGCTTACGGCCTCTTTTAATCCACACTGCTCACATATACACATTCTAAAACTGCGTATTAATAAAAACTGAAGAAGTTTCATGCGAGGCATGGGAAACGGAGGACCCGAGGTAGTGTTAGGGTTTCAGAAGCAAGCTATAGCGCTATAAGTGTGCTATAGCGCTGGTTTGTCATAATCGATGAATAATAATAGCTAGTTCTAGGCTAGCTTCAGCGTGCGACTCTCATCCCTGAGGTCGTCGGTTCAACCCCCAGCTGTGCACCTATGGACTTTCTTTTTAAGTGCGCATTTATCATTCGCTCGAACGGCGAAGGAAAACATCGTGAGAATACCGGCATAAAGTTATAGAAGTGAAGTATTATAAGAATAAAGTTCCAGCAATCTTCATATAATACCGTCTCGTGTTGACAACGTTACTATGCAATGTCTCATAGGAAATTATTTATTCTCTTGAGAAAAGTACTTAGGCTAACGCAAAAATTGTTTTCAGTTGTTAATATTATTTTTAAAACGTCATTTATATAAATGACGTTTTTAAGAGGAAGTTTGATACGGAAAAGAATATACCTTGATTATCATTAACAAGGCTGCATAATTGATCTTGAACAATCGTAAAGGTTGTTGTGATTAATTATAAAAGGAAGGCAATGGCCGTATTCTCGCAGGGGCAGATACTTTTCTGTGTTTATTATTTTTATTGTACGCGTTTTGCATATTTCAACGAAAATATCTTTCATCGGAAATCTACTTTTACACGGCTCTTTAAGTATTTTTAATAATTTGCTTAATATGCTTAATTCTGCTACTCATTAAAATTAGCAGTGCTAACGTAGTAGCTAGAGCCTGCGACTCTCAAAAGTCAAAAATCATTTATTCATGTAGGTAACACAATGTACACTTTTGGACGTCAAAAAAATAAATATACATTAAATACTAATTTTACATTTACTGCCAGTTCTCAAATCAGGAGTAGAACGGAAGAGAAGAACTGGCAATAAACTCTTCGCTACTCTTTTTAATCGCCAAGTTTTCTGTTTTACACAACGTTTGTAAGGAGCTGCAACCATTATACCATGTTCCACATGACATCTTAAGTAATGAATAATAATAAAATAAATTAAAAACAAAGATTTGTCCTCTATCAGCAGGAGGCATAGTGAAATAGGAGCACGCACTTACATTCTCGTACCTGAAGTCGTAGGTTAGAGCCTCGGCTGTACAGTGTACCAGCCCGTCTCTTGCCCTGAATTTTGTCCATTATATGCTGCAACAAGTCCTGATGATGACGCAACACGTGTCCGAGATATGCGACTTTTTGTATTTTAAGTCTGCTTAAACGTCATAATATTTAGTAAAATCACGTTAAATAAACATTTAATTATAGGATGCCCGCAGGGGTTCAACTGACGAAGGTTTTATGCATGCAAATTGAATTTGACTTCATTAATTGCATCTAAATCTACATACGTTGTTAAACAAAGTTTGTGTAATCAATGGACGATCTGTTTAATCATGTATATATACGGTAATACGTATTATATATTTGTTGCAAACTGTCTGAATTCACAAGAATTGCATTTTTTATAATTAGTTATAAAAGGGTTTAGGTTTTCGGTTCTTTTTGATTTGTTTAATTTTGTATTAGTAAATTTTCTATTGTATCAGTATTACCAAAGAACAGTAACATTACTGTAAAAATAGGAAATAAATAAATTTTGGTTCAAAATTACCTTGATGGCTGTCTTCCACGGTCCACTTCACGATACATTTTCTTTTGCGAGCTGTGGAATCGACTCCCGGCCTTCCCTGGGTAATACAACCTAAAATTGTTTAAAAAATGACCATACTACAAACTCACCCCCTAAAATGAGTGTCCGTCGGATGAGATGTCCGTCTTTTTTGGCGTCCCGTAGGCTCTTTTGTCCCCCTTTAAAATCAGTTTCAGGGTATGAACTAGAAAACATTCCGGATTGGAACATCCTAATCACCTAGCTGTATGCAATAGATTCCAAACTATTCTCAGTCCTGCCAAATACATAACAAGTGTATACATACTAGTGAGTCGAGCCGTTTCGGTGGAGTGCGACCACCAGAAAACGAAAAACCACATTATACAGTTAATTTGTGGGGTTGTTTATAGAAATCATTAAAACTATTGAACAGATTTTGATTATAGTGATATTTCGATATTTTAGTTTTTCGGGTTTCACGATAATAAATGTTATCTAGTTTTCTAATATAAAAATATCGAGTTTATTTACACAAGTGAAATATACAGAAGCGAAGAAAAAACTATAATACGTATATAGCATTTTGAAGGTGAGAAAAATCAATAGTTTGAACGCAAGAC